CTTGTTCTTAATGCATTAAAGTGTTATTATGAGGGACAATAATCATATGTGTTGGGACTTTTCAAGGAATTCATATGTGTTGGATTTCAAAGAATTTTTTTTATGCTTATTTTTAATGCATTAAAGTGTTATTATGAGGGTAAGACTTGAGGGTTGGGAGAAGTTAATAAATGCTAAGGTTTTTTTATTTTTTTAAATCAAAAAATCAAGAAATTCAGATTAAGAGATTGGAGCTCCCACAAGGCTTGGGGTTAAAAATCCCCTTTTGCTTAATATATAGTATATATATATATTTAATAAGAATTTATATTTGTTTTAGATATTTTTTTAATATACTAATTATTTTTTAAATTTTTTTTATAAAAATAATTTAACAATCCCATCACTAGCCATAGTATATGCGAGAAGTTGAAAAGGGTGTAGGAGTAGGTATGAGAAAAGTCAAAAAGTGGGTTGGGAGAAGTCAATAAATGCTGAATTCTTTTTTTTTTTAAATCAAAAATTTTTAAAATTAAGATTGGGATATTAGAGCTCCCATAAAGTTTGTAAATTTAAAACCCCATTTTCTTTATATAATAATGAGCAATACTAGGTATCATGAATTTTTTTTAATGAAAATGATTATGAAAGATTTATGACTCTTGGATTACACTTAAAATAAAGCACCACACACTAATCAAGGTAATCCAAGGGTCATAATTCTTTTATGATCAAAGGCTTGTAAGTGTTAAACTACATTTTCCTTATAGACAGATATAGATAGATAGATAGATAGATATAGATATAGATATAGATATAGATATAGATATGGCACATACCATTTATATCAAGGACCAAAGTACCAGGACAACTTCTGTAATTTTCCCTCATCTAAATTAAAGGGATTTAAAAAGAAAAAAAAATTATAATATTAAAAAATGTTCACTAAAAAAATATAGATTAAAAATCAAAAATTAATTATTGAAAACTGCATACTAAACAAGGTAATGTTTTTTTATTAATTTTGAAAATTAAAAAATTATTATTAATTTTTCCTCTGTTTTTTTTTCTCACAAAAAAAAAAAGCTACATTAATTATCTTCTTTTTTTTTTGTGGAAAGGGGTTTTGACTTGCGATTTTTCTAAAATGTGTGTTCTAGATGGAAATGGTAGAATTGGTTTAGACAATGAGAAAAAGTGCTTATGCAAGGGGCACCTTCACTATGAGAAAGAATAGTCAGTTTTGCATAGGGTGTCTTCTTGGATAATAGCTTTCAATATTGACATGCATGAAGGGCTTAAGTGTGAGACATATGAGAGGGGCTTTAGTGCGAAAATAAAAGAAATGGTTTACAGAGTGTCTTCTTGCTTCACGACTTCAATACTTGTGAGAGAGGAGTAAGCTCAAGTGCGAGAGAGAAATGGGGGTTTGTAGGAAGTGTCTTCTTCGGTCATGACTTGAGTGTCCGTGCACATGAAAATGAGTGATAAGGGTCAGAGTGTGTCTCTTGGGTTGACGGTTTCAGTGCTCCGAAACACAAAATCATAGCATTTTAATAAAGAGAAAAAATTAGTGATAAAATATTTTTGTCTCCTTAAATACAAGAACAGAGAATTTATTATTGGTGACGAAATATTTTTGTCTTCCACAACATAATCTTATGAGACGAAAAATATATTCATCGTGCAATCAATCAGAATTTATTAGTGACGAAATATTTTCATCTCCCACAACTTATTCTTCAAAGATAAAAATATATTTGTCGCCCATTTAATAGAAAGATGAAACGACATCGTTTGCATGATGGAGTGTTTATTGGTGATGAAATATTTTTGTCTTCCATAACTTATCATTCCCAGACAAAAATATATTTGTCGCCTAATAAATGGAAATATGCAACGACATTGTTTAATAGGTAGGGAATTTATTGGTGACAAATTACGTTCGTCGCAAAAAATATATATATTTTGTGACAAAAATGTTCATCTCCAATGAGCTAAAATAATTCGAGCCAATGCAAATGAAATTGGCACCTGAATTTTGCAGACGAAATTCTTTTTCGTCTCCTATACGTTTGAGAAAAATTAAAACAAACGACAAAATCAATATTTTGTCATCTTTGGGTTAAATTTTAAGACAAAAAAAATTTCGTCACCAAATTTTGTCACAATAATAGCCTAGATTTCTTGTATTTTGTTTCCTTGTTTAATTATTATTATTATTAGTATTATTATTATTATTTTCTTTTTGTGGAGAGGGGTTTATTGTGAGAAAGAATAGTAGCTTTGCACAAAATGTCTTCTTGGATAATAATATTTGCATGCACAAATGGCTTAAATGTGAAAGAGAATAGAGGAACTTCAGTGCAAAATAGAAGAAATGGTTTATAAAGATTGTTTTCTCAAGTCACAGCTTCAATACTTGTAAGAGAGGAGACTCAAGTGTGCGAGAGAAATGAGGATTTGTAGAGGGTGTCTTTTCGGGTCACGACTTTAGTATTGTGTGTGTGTGAAAGTAAGTGATTATATCAAGATGAACCTGTCCTGGTTTGGGGTTTGGGCTGTCAAGATTGTGGATCAAGGTTTCTTCAATGGCAGTGGCTTCTCCAGTGTAATTTTGCATTAGGATGGCCCAGTGGTCTGCTGCTGGTCTACTTGGTTCTCTGCTACGTTGTCCTGCTTCTCCATTTCCAGATCTGGTCTATGGGCTGCTGTTGTGTGATTCTGCTGTCTTGTGCTTTGGGCTGTTTTGGACTCTTAGGCTCTCTGTGGTGTGGTTGTTTGTGGTGTGTTTTGTTGTTTTTTTTTCTTCCGCTCTGTTTGTTGGTTTCTCACCAACTTGGAGCCTTGAGTGTGTGCTAGCAGATGATTTGGTGTGCGTTTTGATGCCAACCTAGTTGGGATCTAAATGTTTCACTGTGATACTTTTTGCACCCTCTTCTTTACTGATGTTAGTATCATACTTGTTATGTTTTCCATCAATAAAGATTCTCTTTTGCCGATAAAAAAAAAACCACACTAAAAAGCTTCCAAACCCTAGTAAACAACAGATTTAATCTCACACAAAATACATCTCATCCATACATCTAATTTCCAAATACCCTTTTTTTCTACTACTACTGAAAATTTAAATTCCAGTAGAACCAATCAACTTGGTTAAGCCAAAAGTGATCCCCATGGCCAACCACCCTCCAACCAAAACCCTAATTGAAGATTTCACCACAGATGCCCTCCCAAGCACTGCACTCAACCCTCCAAACCCTAGCAGTGCTAAACTCACTGCCGCCACCACCACCCCAACCCTAACCCAATAATCCTTAATAAACGCTGCCGCCAACAGCGGCACCACCGCCCCCACCACGAACGCCGCCGCTGACGCCGCTGCTGCTGCCAACGGACTCGGCAAGTGCTTCTTCGTCTCCTCAATTTCACTTTCACTCATCTCTCTCTCCCCACCCCCTCTCTTTATCTGACTCATCTCTATATCGTACTGCGAGTACACCGAGACAAACTCTCCGATGGCCATGCTACAAGCTCCGCCGATTGCTCCGGCGATCCCAGTGAGGATCATGGTCTTGACATCTTTTCGGACCGCTCCGACACC